TTGCAAAGGTCGCAAAGTCTCCCCAAGAAGCGGTCAACTCTGACAACCGATGAGTGGCGTCAAATTGATGCACCACATCTTTAGTAGAGAGAGGAGCGGAGGGGAAAGACGGCCGATGCGAAGAAGGTAAGAGCAGGGACACATCATGGGAAGTCCCGGCTACCTCCCTAGATGAATCCACCACCATGGTCACGGTCACCTCTGAGGCAACCAAGCCAGCAGCAGCATCATCACCAGGAAACCTTGTCTCCCCCACAACCACTACGCCGACCATGCGCTCCGAGTCCTGAGGCTCGGTACTCGATGGCACACCAGAAGACTGACAAGAAGTCAATGGAAGGTCGAGAGAAGACGAAGGCCTGAAAGTTGATAAAGAAACTCGCCAATAAGAACAAAAGAAAAGGAAAACAGAAGCAAAGAGATGAAACCAGAAGTCACTCACCCGGCTATCTTCTTCGTAAAACACAAAGAAGACCTCGCAGGGGGAACGACGGTAGAAAAAACATCACCGCCACCACAGAGCAGGGAGCGCGCCAGGTACCAGTACCAGAGCCCCAAAGGAACCCAGTACCGGAGCCCCGGAAGAACTTGGTGCTGGAGCCCCAGAGGAACTCGAGCCCAATGATCGCTTGCTACAAAAGAGCCAAGACGAAGTCAGAACAAGAAAAAGCTCTCAACAAAACAAAGACAAGTAAACAACTCATCGACGCCGTAATGAGGGGCACATCATCGTCCTCATCTTCCTCGCCTCCAAAGAAGACAACTACAGCGCCATCCATCAAGCAGAGAAAAGAACTCGATCAATGGCACAAATAAATAACAGAAAGACCAAACATATTAATATGCTCACCTAGGAGCACGCTACCTATAACTAGAGTACACGGATGAGTACTGATTGGCGCGAGACTTCTTGGAAGCAGGAAAACCAGGATGAAGAGCCATCCGCCCGCCCCTCTTGAGACGCTGCGAGGACCTCGGGGGGCCCCGGACGAGGAACATATTCTTCATATACATCAACAACTCCGGAAGAAACTCCAGGAAACGATGTGGTGATTTGGAACTTACTAATTACAGAAGCCCCAGCAAGATCCTCCCCAGTATTCACCATGGCAGGGAGGACATCAAGGGGGATTGGGTCAACAAAGTTGTGCCCCAATTCCTACAAAGAAGAGTAAAACAACCAGATGAGAAAGATTAAACAAAGGTGGAGACAACAAAGGAAAATTCAAAAAGTACTCAAATAAAGAAAAATAACTCACAGCAGGAGGAGGGTTCTTAGCGCAATACTTAACAACAGCGTGAGGAACAACATTCACTCCTTTCAAAGATCTTCCAAGCGCGCCGAGCACCTCCTCGTCGGTCAACTCAAGGGCAGGGACCATACGAGAAGAATCCTCTGCCCCAGAGTACTCAAAACCAAAGTTTTCTCGCTCCTTAAGAGGTTGGACTCAATGGCGAAGAAAACTGGAAATAATACCAAGGCCGGTCAAACCTTACTGTTTTAGAGTACTTATCCTCTCAACAAGCGGCTTGATCGCCTGGTTCTCATCTTCCGTCAGGAGTTTCTTTTCCCATCGATCGTTAACCGTGGGACCAGAAGAAGAATGAACGGAAAGGGGAGGAATCATGTTGGCGGAGTAAAACCACTCGGAACGCCAATCCCTCACAGAGTCAACTAAGTCATAATCAAAGAATTTAATTTTGAGACTCTGACGGAACTAAATCCCACACCCACCAAGAACAGAAGTGTCATCACGGCGGGGTTGTGGTTTCAGACGAAAGAAGAAACGGAAGAGGGAAAGAGAAGGAGGAATTTCAAGAAAGGTTTCGCAAAGATGAACAAAGACAGAAAGATGAAGGACATCATTGGGGGTAAGATGGTTCAAAGTAACCCCAAAATAATTAAGGAATCAATGGATGAAGGCAGAAGTGGGAAGGCAGAGTCCAGCACGGACAAAGGAGACAAAGAGGACGATCTCACCAGGACCTAGAGCAGGGACCCGATGCTCGCCTGGAGCTCTCCATTCAGCAATGTCCTTGCTCTGGATCAAGCCATCGCTGATAAGCTCACGAAGCTGGTCTTAGGTTGATGTCGGAGCCGGCCAAACCTTCTGGGCAGCCCTCATGGCCACGAACTCTTGGTTCTCGATCAAAGAAAGGGATGACTCCTCGTCCACGAAGGTTGCCTGGGACAATGGCGGCGGTGGATTTCTGAAAGCTAGGGTTTCAAGGCAAGAGCTGGGCAGTAAAGAAAAGGAAGATAAAAGGTCTTTAAATAGATTTTACAGCGATAAAAACGGCCCACCAGACCTGTTAAAACACGGTGTGGGAACGCAACGGTCCATTTACTGACACAGCTAAAATGACTGACGGCACAAATCCACACAACGGTACAGTTTAACGGGAAGATTTCAGACTTATCCATCCAGCACCACGGCAGAGTTATCATATTACTACAACAACAACCCGTCAACCATGAAGAAACGAAGGGCTACCTCACAAAGAACAAAAGAACCTGGTTATTACAGAAAGAACTCAAGAGTGTCATGAACAACCAGGATTACAATAGAAAAATGAATGACAACTCAGAAGACAAGATTCTTTCCATTACAAGTGACTTCAAAAAATAGAAGATTACACATCTTACAAGACCCAACGAACTCGGTACTACGGCAATCAAGGTAGCAAAGAGGAACCCGGACACAGCTAGGCTCTGGAACGACTACGTGTCCTAAATTGCTACCCGGTAAAACAAACCGCACTCAGCTACACTGTTTTCTTCAAATGACGGACGCAGTGCATCTAAGGCAGAAATCAGCAGCACGGCGGGACAACATAGACCAGGGGAAGTCGGCAGGCATCTGTCTACCCAAGGCCGACGTGATGCAGGATCAGGTGTTGATCTGCACCGGACAGTCGCAGGGCGGGCAAGGAAGATCAACCCAGAACTGCTGGATGAAGGAACGCATCCCACATCACAAGACTTCCTTCAACTACCACCACGTACTTCCAAGTACAATGCTGCTGCGGGATTAGTCTACCTCTAATCCCTATCACAAGGCTTCCTCTAGCTACGACAAAGACGCACAGGAAATATAAAATACGCCCAGGGGCTGCTCTACTTCACAAACTACCATATTCATGACCACGAAGGCTTCAACAAAATGTTCAATGGATGAAAACAAGCACTCTGGAAGGATATTTATAGATCGAAGGAGCGGCGCACATGGACTAGGAGTACCAACGAAATAAGCCTAGCAAATGACACAGTGAAAAGACAGGACTCAATAATGGAAGACTCAGGCGAGAAGGAACAGAACTCGAAGACAAGCATATTCGGAAGAATATGCCAACACTGTACAACCTGTGAACAGGCAACATTTACTTTCAACCACCACCACACAACTGCACTTGACAAACGGCAGACTACCAGAGAATACGTCAAGACAATGCATCCGAGTTCTTTTTTCAAAGAACCCGGATAAATGCTCAGAGGCTGCAACAGGGGAAGATTTTAGTTCCTCGAACAAATCAGACTCAAGACCCTCCAACTCTTTGTTCTAAACAACAAGAGGCTCGGGGGCTACACTCAGTAAATGCACTTTTTCTTCAAAAAAACGCACGTCACCAAAAAGACTTTTTCAAGACAAAACTACTTCAAGGACTCATGATAAAAAGAAGTCGGACCGATTTATATCCGAGTTCTTTTTGACAAAAAACCCGGGTACATGCTTGGGAACATTTCAACGAAGGATCAGAGCGATTTCAAGACAAGACTCTCTAGCTCCTTATACCAAATAGCAAGAGGCTCGGGGGCTACACCCAAAGGGGAGTACTTTTTTCTTTAAAAAGGTACACACCACGCGAAGATCTCACAGAGCGCTACACGGTTTCGCTCAAGAAAGCACTCGGACGACGCTTGTTCCTGCTCGGCAAGACCTGAAAGAACAAGATGAGGCTTCCAGAGCACAACCATGAAGTGCTCAGGGGTTTGTCGGTGCGGGACCCACAGGATACCCCGCAAGATCTAGTCTAAGTGGGATTCTCCTCATGTAATCTTAGTAGTAGTATTATTCTGTAATTCTACTAGAAACTCTCATTGTAAACCGATTAGGATTCTGACATCCTGACTATATAAAGGAGGGCAGGCGTTCCTAGAGATCACGACTTCTACAACACAACAACACACAATCAATCCAACGCAAAGGCTAACGCCGACTGGACGTAGGGCTATTACTCGACTACAGTCGAGGGCCTAAACCAAGATAAATCGACTGTCTCTTGCGTTCACCGTCGAGTTCCGCATAAGGCGAAGCCCGAACATACTGTCCCGAATAACCCCGTAATAGGCTATCGGTGGTAAAACATCGACAGGATCCAAAGCTAGCAGGAGATCCACCTCACCTCAGGAAAATAGGAACCATGATTCATGAGTATCCGCAAAGCAAAGCAAGCAAATGCATCTGTTATTCTGATGTGCAGATGCCTAGCTTTACACTTTTCTACTAGTGCAATCGAAGGTCAAACTGAACTTTTCTTGAAAGTTACAGTATTGAGCATCAGATTGCAGTGTATCCTTCAGACTTGGATGTTGTTTCTTGAATCCAAGCGTTCGACGGCAGGACGCGGCAGACCTGCAGCCAAGCTATTGAAATGGCTAGCTCTGAATGCCGTGCAGCGCCAGCGTCCACCTTGGCTCGGCCTCGATCCTACACTCTAGCTACAACGGTCTTGCTCCGCTTCTCTTCTCCTTGCAATGCATGATATGACGTGGTTCATCTTCTCCGTCTCTTCTTCCTCTTCCCTACTCTTCTCTTCAGAGTTGAGAGTGATAGACACGGAGAGAGACGGATCAGTGGTCTCTTCATCTGTTATATCCCACCAGTGACTCGCTTGGTGAGTCATCAACAGGTGATCTGTCTAGCTGCATGAGCAGTGTTTGATATGGTGTCTCAATTTGAGTAGCTGTGTGCGCCCAAGGAATGCAGAGAACGGGATCAATGGGTGCGCGGTGCAGCGGCGGCTGCGACGGGCGTGAGGACGGCGCCGTGGAGGCGCTGGTGCAGTGGCAGAAGGTGAGCGACTTCCTGATCGGGGCGTCCTACATGTCCATCCCGCTGGAGCTGCTGCACTTCGCCACCTGCGCCGACCTCAAGCCGCTCCGGTGGGTGCTCCTCCAGTTCGGCGCCTTCATCGTGCTCTGCGGCCTCGTCCACCTCGTCGCCGTCTTCACCTACGCCCGCCCGGACTCGCGCCGACTCCTCGTTGCCATCACCGCCGCCAAGGCGCTGGCCGCCGTCGCCGCCGTCTCCCTCCCCACCTTCATCCCTCAGCTGCTCCGCCTCAAGACCCGCGAGGCGCTCCTCCGGGACAAGGCGCGCCAGCTGGACCGTGACGTCGACCTCGTCAGGCGCCGCGAGGAGATCGCCGCGCGCGTCGTCCGCGCCATCACGCAGCACATCCGCCGCGACGGTGGAGGCGGAGCCGGAGGTGCTCTCCAGCCAGACACGCACGCCGTCCTGCGCACCGCCGTGTTCCACCTCTCCGACGCCCTCAGCCTCAGCAGCTGCGCTGTCTGGATGCCCGCGGCGTCCAGTGATGATGGCCACAGCTTGCTCCACCTCGTACATCAGCTGCCTGAAGATGAGCACCAAGCCCCGACGATGACGACGAGGATGGCCATTCGCATCACTGACCCGGACGTGGCCGCCGTCATGGCCAGCAAGGACGCCAAGGTGCTGAGGCCGGGCTCGGCGCTCGGGACGACGTCTGGTCATGGACGTGCGGCTGCCATACGGATGCCTATGCTGACGGTGTCCAACTTCGTCGACGCATCATCCTCAGGATCAGATGGGCAGGGAGCTGCTGTGAGCTACGCGATCATGGTCTTGGTTCTTCCGACTACTAAGAATCACAGGGCTAGAGGAGGAGGAGGAGGAGCACGAGAGTGGAACAGGCAGGAGCTGGAGATCGTGGAGGTTGCGACGGACCCGTTAGCCGTGGCGCTGTCGCACGCGGCGGTGCAGGAGGAGTGGCAGCTGACTCGGCACAAGCTGGCCGAGTGGCAGAGGGTCCTGGCGCAGGCCCGGCACGACGCCGCGGTGGCCACCGGGGCCAGGGACGCCGCGCAGAGCGCCATGCGCGAAGGCGTGCTGAGGCCGATGCACTCCGTCGCGGGGCTGCTCTCGCTGATGCAGGCGCAGCAGCAGCAGGACGGGGCCTTCCGTTGCGCCGAGCAGAGGGTCGCCGTGGATGCCATGGCCAGGATCAGCGCCCTCTCCTCCACGCTGATTGACGACGTCATATCGGCGCTGCTGACGCCGGCGACTGTCCGTGGTGAGCCAGCGTCGGCGGGTGCCAGCGTGAGCTTGGCGCGGAGGCCGTTCGATCCCCGCGCGATGGTCAAGGACGCGGCCGGCGTGGCGGGGTGCCTCGCCCGTTCAGGGGGCTCGGCTTCTCGCATCGGGCGGAGATGAGCTCTCTGCCCGCGAAATGCTGTGTGGTCGGCGACGACAGGCGCGTGTTCCACCTCCTGCTGCACATGCTTGGCGTTCTGTTGGACCAGTGCGAATGCCATTGCCATGACCTCTGCTTTGCCGTGGACACTGTTCCGGTGGGTGACCAGGAGACCATGTCAGGCTCAGGCCTCCCTGATTGGATCACCCCCAACTTCTCTGGCTGCAAACTGGGTATGTGTCAGGTTCCGATTTGGGATCACAAAACACTTCCGAGACAGCTTACTGCTTTCGTGCAGCCCACGACCTCAAGAAAGAATCAGAAGAAGGACCAGCACCAGCGTCAGCGTCAGTTCAGTTTCAGTCAGCTCCGAGACGCGGCTAAGCATCGCTACGTGCAACAAGATCGTGCAGGTGAGCTCTGTTCCTATGTACAGTACTTCGAAACAATGCGTGTTCCATGTATTTAGATACAACATATCAAGAACCTAAATTGGCTGACCGTTCTCTCGTCAGATGATGAACGGTAAGATGTGGGACGAATCCACGTCAGAGTCCAGAGGCCAGCATGGAGAGCACATGAGCCTCATCCTGCACTTCCACCTCGGCTATGGAGTCGCATCACCCTCTGCCTCCTCCCCATCAGGCGGCGGCGGCGGATTCTACCGCATCGGTGGCAGATTCTGAGCGCCCTCGCCGTCCACCAGTGCTCCTCCTCAGTACAACTTCAACGGCCTGCGCGTCCTGCTCTCGGACAGTGACGACACCAGCCGGGAGGTGACGCGGAAGCTCCTGGAGAGGCTCGGCTGCCATGTGCTGCCGGTCCCGTCGGCCGCGCACTGCCTCAGCCTTCTACTGGGGAGCGCCACCGCCGGCGGCGATAATCCGTCGTTCCAGTTCCCCTACTTGCAACCGCAGGCGGTGCTTCTGGACCTCCACACACCAGCCGCAGCTAGCGTTGACGCCGCCAGTGCGATGGATGATGGGTTTGAGGTCGCCCTCAGGATCCGGGAGGTCACCGGCGACAGGTTCAGCTGGCTGCTCATACTTGTCGCGCTGCCATTGCCACCGAGAGCAAGCTGCATCGACGTCCGCGACGTGTGCAAGCGGACGGGAGTGAATGGCGTCATCCACAAACCCATCACGCTGCCAGCACTGGCAGCTCAGCTTCAGAGAGCTGTCCACAACGACAGCTGAACAGTGATCCCCACGTACCTACAGCCTGTTTGGACTACTCAACTCCCTTCTTTTCAAACTTGTTTCTAGCTCTACTCTTAACTTTGTTTGTTAAACAAGATAGATCAATAGATCTTTTTTTTTCCCTAAAACCTTTCATATAGGATATGGAGGGGTAAAAAACACTCTCGGGCAGATTGGAAAAATGATTCCCTTTCTTTAAATATTGTTCTCAATTATAACAAAAATCATCTCTCAAACCCCTTTTGAAAAGGGGATACTACACCCACCCCATCTCCTTTCCCTTTCGACTTTTAGATGGAATTTGTGTTTATCCTAGCTATCAGGTGCCAATTAATTAGGGTGGTACTAGCGCCCAGACGGCGGACGAACGACTGTGGCTGCTTGTTTCCCACGTGTAGCGAGCGTACGGCGCGGACCTCAGCTTGCTCCAGGGCCACCACACGAGCATCGCGCCGTCGTCGACCCGCCCAAGGCCACCACCTCTGCGGGCGTCTGTGTGCTCGTCGGGTAGGATATCCTCGCCGAGCTCGAACTGTCGTGGCGAGATGGAGGGAAGGGAAGGGAGGGGAGAGAGAGGGCAGAAGAGGCGAGGCGCGCCACGCGAGGAAGGAGCGAGGTAGGAGCCGAAGCCCTGCGGTAGGCCGCTATCTTCCAACCACTGGCGCCATTGCAACATGTGCAACACCCGATCTACTTTTGAAACATCCAGATGAAACATTTACAACATACGTATGAAGACAGATAAAACACATGAAACATGCGTCTGAAACACTTGCAAAAATACATAAAACACTTGAAAAAATCATTGCAAAACATATGGAATATTCAGATAAAACGCTTGCAACATATGCGTGAAACATATACATCATCCAAATAAACATACTTGCAACATACGACTACAACATTTAGAACAGACGCTTGCAACATACATGTATAGTCATTGCAACATGTGCAACATCTTGATCTAGTACGAAACACTTGTAGCATACCTTTGAAACATTTAAAACGATTAAAATATGCGATTGCAACATGCGCTAGTTAGGGGGACGTCAACGACCCAGCGTACACCCAGGCGCAGGCCTTCCCTTCCTGTCGACAAGCGAGGTTGATGGGGGCGCACGCGTAGGCCTCCCTAGGCGCAGGCGCATGCCTCCCCTATCTCCCCTTTCGCGATGGGCGAGGTGGATGGGGACATGGAGCGGGATGGTGGCACGGACCGCGGAGCAGCCAGGGATGAGGCACAGGGGCAGCGCCGCCACGCTGGAGAAGGCCGCGACGGGTGGGTGTGCTGCCTGCGCACTACTACTGACACGACCGTGCCGCCGCGGTGCGCCGCCGCACGGCTCGGCTACACGTGGCTAGCCTTCCTTCGTCATCTTCCGCCCCAACTGTCACATCGGCCTGGTCCATGATCATGATGCCCACGTGCTAACCGATTAGGTCTATAGCTGCCTCAGCTCATTGGAATAGTGGCGTCGCCGTCGCGGATGGCCGCGCGCCGCTGTAGCCTTCCCCAGCGAGGTCTGTCACCCTTCACCGCTGCTTAGCGTAGCCGCTCGGGTCGGAGATGGTGATCGACCCGTTAGGTGGGCCCACGCAGGACCCAGGTGGCCGGTGTAAGCGCTCAGTGCCGCTGCTCGCCGCGCCGCCGTGCGCTGGGTCGCTGGGGGTGCTCGCAGGCGAATTAGGGAAAGGCTAGGGGTTAAGTGAGAAGTTCTGATAGAGGGGAAAATAGCGCCAGGACTTAGTTGCAATTCGAGAGAAATGCGAGATCTCTTTTGCAAAGTCATCGGCGCGCGTGGGATTCCCCCGCCGTGGGCCGCGCTGGCGAATTCGTTTTTCTTTTTCATAAGGAATTAGAAATAGTTTTCTAATTTAATTTTTGAGCTGATCTTTGGTAAATCATATAAAATCATGTAGGTGTCCAAAAATTATGAAACAAATTTTGTTAGGTTCCTAAAATTGTGCTCCATCGGTTAGTGTATTTAGTTCATATATATACATGTTGATACCAAGGGCTATTAAAATCATTTGAGAGTGCTTAATATTATTAGGTTAAATATTGTTGGAATTTTTATGATAAATTGGTGTTAGTTTTGGTCTTAAAATTTTTATGATAGCTTTATTCTATTATTATATGCTCACTGTAATTTTTGTAGCTTTAGAATAGATTAACCTTTAGGGTAGTTAAATGCTCTTTGTTTCAATATACATTAAATTATTAGTAGAAATAAAAATATATTCTTTATTTGTAAAGCTAGGTGTTTGTCAGTTGAACCCAACACTTTGCTTGGTAAAGATGATAGTGAGCTTAGTACCTTAGTCATTAGAGCTAGCTTAATAGCTTAGTATACGTATTCTTATTTTAAGAGTTGGTGTTATATAAATACTAAGGGTTGCATCATCATCGCATGCATGTAGAGGACGAGTTGACGGAGATCGTGACCATCGACGATCACGAGTTTGAGGAGATCGTCGAGGAGTACGAGGAGGAGATCCTCGTGTAGGAGAAGGTCCCAGAACCGTCACTGACTGACTCAGTTGACACCACGCCTGCCCAAGGCAAGTTTCGGTGTATAACCCTTATTTTTTATAATCACTGTTTATACATGTTGTGTGCATTTACGTTACAGGAATTTTATGAAAACCACATGTATAGATATAACTGTCCTATGAGTCCTACTAGTACAGGTTCGAGTAGCTGCTATGCTTAGGTTTTTGGTAGCGTGAGTAACATGCCGTTACTTACAATAGGTGATTATTACAATTACTCTCATGATAAAATAATGAAAGGAAAAATGGAGACATGGCAGAGATATGGTATGGATATTGGTGGGTGTAACAGGTTATGTCCCGCGGCCAATGAGGCTTAGCTTGGTTACACGATTTTCCCTGTTCGTGTCGATTAAGGACCATACGTTGCTGTGGATGGTAGTCAGGTCACAGATTTATTATCCTGAGCACACACTTGCTTATGGGAGCGGGAAGGCTCGTTACGCTCTTGTGGTGGGTTCTGGCTCTTTCCGGACCGACTGATTGGAGGCGGGGAAAGGTGGAGGTCTAAGCACCATACTGAGACCGGGTATCAAGTGTGGGGGCTTGAAGTCCAAGTTTGGACGGGGATCTGAACCCCATGACAGGAGTGGAATGGGTTTGTCTTGTTTGTGCCTGAGGTATAAACGGGGCGTGTGTTTCGGGGTAGCTAGCTAGGATACATTGGTTCGTGAATCGCCGTTTCCGTGAGACGGTACGACTTGGCTATGGTCTAGCACCGTAGTAAGAACTAGAAGATGAAAGATGGAAAAATGGTTCTGATGGCTCAACCCTGCTTGTAAGTAGAACAGGTGCTTACCTAGAATGGTTAGCTAATGATGTAATCATGACCGCTAATAAAACTTGACTGTAAGGATGAACTATTAGTAATGCTTTTCGCAAACAAAAAGAAAACAGCAAACCCATATTGTCTATCATATTTCTTGGAGTAGGGAAATTATTATCACTAGTCGGGTAAGTCTTGCGAGTATATTGTGTACTCATGGTTCATTTTACCTCTGTTGCAGGTACAGCTTGAGGAGTAGCTCTTGTGTGGAGGATTCTTCTGGTGGACACAGACGAATCCTTGTATCGTATCCACTATATGCTTATTTTCATTCCGCTGTTTAATTCTCACACTCTGAACTCTGGGATTGTAATAAATAATTTCTAAGAACTCTTGTTGTATGAAATGGACTAAGTATTGTAAGCTCGTACTGATTATTGGATTCTGGATGTAAAATGTGGATTGTTTCGAGTTCTCCCTTGGGGTGTGCTCGACAAAACTGTCCGATGTAGCCAACTTTTAGGGTGCTTAGTGTCTAGTGGAAGACGAGCACCTCCAGAAGCGTGCTATTTCGGGTGGTTCTGCCACACCTTCTCCCAGCGACGACGCGACCACCGAAGAGCGCCGTGGACCATGGCGCACGAGCTGAATCGCCACTCTCGCACTCACTCTAAGGCTAGAGGATTTGGGGAAGGAAGGAGGAGTGAGACTCACTGGCCTCCCTACCCTCTGCTTAAATAAGCGCCCCTAAGACGGTAGTGGGGGATTTGGTGGTTGTCATTAAAGGCAGACTCAGGCATCGAGAGAGTTCCACAAGGTAAAAGCGTGGGGAACGGAATGGTTCGAGTCCCCAGGCACCTCCATCCTTATCTTTCACAGGATTCAATGATGCACAAACGATGCATTCAAATGGGTGGGAGACTTCCGCCCACATGATTTTCGAGACTCGGGAAGGCATTACTGCCAGTAAGTGCGAAGCTCACAGTCGTCCCGATACTCGGGGCCACCCTGGTTGTATTCAAACATCTCGGCACCCGAGAGATGCTCATCGGGACCTATGGTACCTGAAGGCTACAAGGACCTTCAGTACCTGACGGATTGTGAAGCTCTACGAGCTCGTTATTAAATCCTGCGGGGGCTACTGTCAAAGATATGGGCCTAGGGTACCCTCACCGCCCATGTATCTGACCCATCGAGGATGACCGAGGAGGAAGCCCGCGAGGACTAGGCACGACTACCAACTTGGGGATCACGACGTATCGAAGATATCTTCAGCCATCGTAGCCATGGTAAGATAGAATTGATCTGTTGTAACAAACTAGGAATCCAATCTGTAGCGCCGATCACCCTCGCTGTAACCCTACCCCTCTGCCTATATAAAGAGGGGTAACGACTCCGCGATCGTCACGTCCACCACGACACCATCCGCTGTTCCAATGTACCTCGTAGCTATGAGCAATAGCCCCTGTAACCGAGCATTGCCGGAGCTAAATAAGAGCACCCGCACCACTAGAGTAGTGATTAGCACGCTACCGTGCCCCGAACCAGTATAGACCCTTATGTCTCGTGTGCTACCATCTAGATCTATCTACGCGATCACGTTGCTAGGCATTGCTGGAGCTAAATAATCCGACATTGACCCTCTTATAAATCTAAATCTTGGATTATCTTGTACCTTCTCTTATGTATTGCATCACTTCTCTAACATCGCTGTGTTCACCACAATGTTGCTCATTTCTATTTTAGCCATTGGTATCTCAAGTAGCCATCGGCCCTATCATTGTGTCAACATCCATCGGTGCCTCAAGCCTTTCGAACACACTTAGGAACCATCACTAATGTCAGTAAAATACTGACCTCCGGGCTACCTCCCTATGTCATTCTATCGCACGATTAACATGTTCTGATTGGAGGAGGGGACGATGAGGTAGAGGAAGGGAGGGGCATCGCGACGAGGAAGAGGAGAGGCGTCGCAACGTGGAAGAAGACGGGGCATCGGGGTAGGGGAGGAGTCAGGGAGAGGAACGGTACCTAGCTGATACCATGTAAGAGTAACTGGCTTGAGTTTCCATTCATTGAACAAGAATATAGAGTACAAGATACAAGACTATCCATATCCGTATTCAAGGTTTCCATTCATTGAACAAGAATAATTTCAAACTAATCTACGGCTTCTTGATCCGTTTTCCTCTATATCAGATCACATTTTCAATCTTAGCATTTAAATAATATATTTTTTTTTAGGGGGGATCCCCACCTGGAAAGCTTTATTACCAGAGAATAAACAGTTTGATCACACTGTCTAAAACATTAAAGACGTGACCTTAGATAGTACTCCCTCTGTACAGATGTAAAAGAACTTTTCTAGTCTAATTCACATGAATAGCCAGGATCTAATCTAACACTTTGCATCGGTTACCAATAGCCAGGATCTAACTGCATCACTGTGATTAAGGTGTTTGATTGAGGGATACTGAGTTTTTTCACTACCTCCATAAGTAGTCGTAAAACCGTAAAAGTCCCATAAGTCCTTGCATTTGTGGAAACATAAGTAACGATAATTCAAATAACCATCTACAGATAAATTCACAATTGACTCAGATTTGCTAATTGAAACATACGACTTATGATTAGAGGGCCAGTGGAAACATAACTGAAAAGTCAATAACACAGACGCTAGAGCATTGCCCCATGTTCAGTTTATTCGTACAATAATAATCCAATTGCGGGCTCTGGCAAGTGGCAACATGGTGCTTTTCAAGGCTCATCTTGGTTCCAGTTCTGTGATTGACACTTCATTTGGTGATATCGCCCCTGAGGTAACGTTAGCGGTGGATTGGGAAGCTGTAGGATATGATTCTGAATAAACAGTTGAGTTTGGAATGAAAAATACTGGCTTCAGTGGAGCCTGGAGAGAGAAAGTGTTTCCACTGAGCATGACGTTTACTGTTGACATCATCGGTCTATCGACCGGGTTATCCTGAACACACAGTAGACCGATATGGACACATTTCATCATCTGTTGCGTAGGAGCTTTGCCTCTCAGAGATGGGTCCATAACCTCCACAATTGTTCCCATGGTCCAGTGCTCCCAAACCTGTATCGATTATCAAATGCAAATTTTGTTAGTGTTTTTGAAGCAAATTACTTGTGTAGAGAGTTTTGGGATAACAGAATGTCTTACAAGACTTAAGAGATCAACGGACTTCTCGATGTTAAAGGAACCACTGCTTCTTCTTCCGGTTAAGATTTCAAGAATCAAGATGCCAAAGCTGAAAACATCAGACTTTATAGAATAGTGGCCACGCATGGCGTACTCGGGTGCCATATACCCACTGCAACATGAAGGGAAATTCATTCTAGTCAAGAATAGAGGCATGGGGCTAGAAAGAGCAAAAGCTTAACAATTAATTGTGCTAAAAAGTGTTTTATCTTTGCATGCAAATTTTAGGTAAGTGGGTGGGAGGCATGGTGGCCCCCTAGTTTGGAAGTAGACGTACTATGTTCCAACGACGCGACTTGTGACCTCCCGCGATTGATCCCCTCCAAATAGCCTAGCCAGGCCAAAATCGGAAATCTTAGGAGTATAATCAGAGTCTAAAAGGACATTGCTCGCTTTAAGGTCCCGGTGAATAATCTTCAACTGAGAATCTTCATGGAGATACTGTAATCCTCTGGCAATTCCATCTATTATCTTGACTCTCTTTCCCCAATCTAGTTCCTTGTTTTTTTCAGGATCTGGCAGTTGAACAAGAAACCTCATGTCAGAATGTTAAATTCTGATACTATTTGTGCTGTCGGAAACAGATTATTACAAAAAAATAGTACCGAAAAGGATGGTGTCGATGCTTCTATTGGGCATGTATTCATACACAAGCAGTTTCTCATGTTCTTGCAAGCAAACACCAACAAGCCTAACAAGATTCTTGTGTTGAAGCTTGGCAACCAAAACAAGCTCATTTTTCAGCTCTTGTATTCCTTGCCCTGAACTCTGTGAGAGCCTCTTCACTGCAATTTCTTGACCATCAGGAAGGACGCCCTGCGTAAGTGTGAACCTTCAGTTGCTGAAAATGAAAATGCTTTATGAATTGGGCTAGTATGAGTGGCACCTTATAGACAGCGCCAAAACCTCCTTCACCAAGCCTATTGCTCTCAGCAAAGTTACCAGTCGCAGCTCTTAAAGTTGATATATCAAGAAGAAGTGACTCGATGCTCTCCATGTCTCCATCATTAGTTGAATCTGTCAGAATATATATAACGAAAACACATATATATAATGCCCTTTATAATCAATAAAAAAATACTCCATCCGTTACGAATTGAAAGTCATTTTAGCTTTTCCAGATACATGCTTTTGCTACATACCTAGATATACATTATATCTAGATACATGGCTCTAAAAGCTATATATCTAGAAAAAGCCAAAACGACTTACAATTTGAAAAAGAGTGAGTAATATACTAATATATAATCAAATATGTAGTGTTCTTTAAAGGTCAAGTATATATTGGTTCCTCTTGCAAACCCGTTCACAGTTCCAAATTGTCAAGAAAACTTACAAGATGGTGTCTGCTCCCTTGCTTGTTTTCTCCTCCTCCAGAAGAAACAGAGACAAACAGTACTGATAGCTAGCACCGCAGCAATCATAGGCAGCACAATTGCCAAAGCAAGTCCTGTTTTGTTTCTGGTTCTTCCTGTAAACAAAGGCCACAAACTTCAGCAAAAAGCATGCTGCAAATCTTAGAAAAGCTATAATATGAACCACTTCGTACAAAACATATTTTACTGCAATCAAGGTTCTTTTTAAGGTGCATATATAGACTCAAGCACTTGTAGTTGTAGGGGACTTGGAGTCCAAGCACTAAGAACCTTAGTGGTACTAGGCCCAAACATTATGGAAATCGACTACTAGTTGACTAGCAGCATGGTCCTTTGCAATATGTTATTTGCAAAAAGTTCTAACAGAAAAATAAAATAAAGATAACTTTACGACAAGTTTTCTTCTTTTTCTGTCCCTTTCCTAATTAGCATATCATGCAGTGCACCATGAGATAATTTAAAACACTTAACATTGATTAGTGCCTTATCCCCATTGGAAGTGGAACTAAACACTGTTCCGGGCCGATTCGTTGTGAGAGAAAAACACGGTTCCAGCTGAAAAAGACGGATTATAAGAGAAGCGAATAGGGCCAATTGCTTTGTAGACTGACAGACATCACTATGCTAAATGAAAACACAAGCACGCTTGAAATGGAACGGGCAAAGGCAAATTGTTCTCGTACATGATTTACACAAGAGTTATGTTGCTTGTGGCATACATGGTTGTTTTTATTTAATGGATAACAAGGCTGTGGTTTTTTATGCTTACTTGTATGTATTGATGCCTTGATGCATAGTATGTGTTTCTTCTTTGGAAATAACCAACTAAGAAGTCTTGTTGTATTAAAAAGAAAAACTAAGAAGTCTTCTGCATACTGTAATCGCTGTTTCCGGTCAACAAAGTAGTAAAGGGTAGCGACGGGGACTGCAGAGATGTCAAGATGATCAAAGAAAACCGGTGTACACGGTTGTGTCCGCGACCAAAATCTGTTGACGATATTGTAAGTAGTTCCCAAATAATTGAAACAGAAGATCCACAGTTTCAGTCGTTTGTTTGGAATGGCCGATTCAACAGTCGTCCGAAACTAGTATAGTGGGCAACAAATAGAGAGAATTTGTGTTGTTTGACCGTGCGCATGTGTTTCTCTTTTTCGTGTAATCGTGTTCTTGAGACATCTAGCGCTAAAACCGAACAAAAACTAAAACGAGAATCTGTTGCTGACATCTCACCTGGTGGGGTTGCCGTTGGCGTCACGTTAAATGGCGCAGGAGATGGCGCCGGTGGCGGCGCCAGCGCTGGCAGACGTAGCGAGGGGGCTCGGAGAAGAAAGAATACACCTCGTACCTGAAATTGCAGCGCATCCCTACAATCCTTCCGCCCTGCCTTCCGCTGAGGTACTGCGGCATCGCCGAGATTATGCTCCCAAGGCAGCTCCGGCAGTCGGCGGACGACATGTCCGGCGTGCACTGCGTGAGCCCGTAGATGGTGGGGTCGCTTCTTGCGTCGAAACCCTCTTCCCCCGTGCCAAAACGTGACGCGTTCGCCGCCGCGTGGTCGCCGGTGGCGTTGAGGAGCACGGCGACGGCGGCGTCGAACGCCCGCACCGGCGAGCTCACGTTCTGCGTGTTCATGAGGATGATGGGATCGCCGTTGTTGTTGGTGCTGGCGATGAAGTTCTGGTTGGAGAAGCGGAGGTAGCAGGCGTCGTAGAACACGGCCGCGTCCCTGTCGTAGGCGCAGAGCTGCTGAGCGTCCTGGAACCCCGTGGCGACGCAGGAGCCGCAGGCCGTGGCGTTGGTGTCCCCGCGGCAGAGCGCGAGCGCGTAGACGACGTCCGGGACGGCGCCGACACTGCCCGTCGCGAAGAGGTTCCCCGAGCGGGACGCGTTCGCGGGGAGTGCCTTGGCGAGGCTTTCGAGGTTGGACTGGTAGGGGCTCTTGGCCGTGTAGTTGCCGGTGTTCCCGCAGACCTGCCACGGTTGCGCGGCGGCCCGCGGCGAGAAGAAGAGGAGGAGGAGGAGGGAAGCGACGGCGAGGAAAAGGAGGTGGCCCGTGACGAGGCGCGGGGAGGCGCCGCAAACCAACGTGGCCGTGGCCGTGGCCATGGCGCTGCGGCTGCCGGTGCGTGGCGAGAAGTGATCGAGGAGGGTAGTGCTGTGCCTGTGCGTCGCAGTCGTTACTCGTTAGGGAGGTTCGGAACATGGAATTATGGAAATGTGCTCTATCCTGCTGCACAACTGATAAGGAGAATGTTTTTTTTTTTTTTTTGAAAGACCATGAGGAGAATCGTTTGACTAGAATGGTAGGCAAGACCATTCGAGTTCGTTGGGGCCCGCAGGGGGGCAACGATATGGATGACGTGCGGGACCCACGGGCTCACCGCCTCACCGCGTCAATCCCAGGCACTTGCTGGGGCGGTGGTGCCGGGTGCGGTATCAGCATCACACTATCAGTAGGGGCATTCAGGATTTCAGGGTGCGAACGCTGCACCTACACTAGTCTAGTAAGAGGAGAAAACATGGCACTTGAAGGAAAATTCGTGGATGTCATGTCCCGAAGGAACTTGATCAGGTGGACCAACGGTTCAACGGAGACCCGTAGTTCTCTGTCCAACAATGTTCTAAACCTTTTCGAAAGGTAGGAAAATTTGTAGAAGTAGTTTGAACACTGTTGATGTGCGACTGGTCCCGTCTTCAAGCTCGCGAGGTTCCCTCCCCGCGCTTTCTTCTCCCGCAGCGAAGTCCTCATCCTCACCCTCGCCCCGCCTCCGCCCTAGTCTTCCACCACCAGCGGCGAGCGGCTCTCTCTACCTCGTTTCACCACTCGCACCCCGCCCCGCCCCTCGAACCTGCCCACCCTAATCACAGCCGCCACCGCCACAATGCCCCCGCCGCCAACCCCGCCCAACCGCCATCTCCTGCCGCCAATCCCGCCCAACTGCCATCTCCCGCCACCACAGCGGTGTCCCGGCTGCAACTTCTAAGCCTACCGGTGAGAAGATGAATTTACCTCAAAACCCTAACTCCGGCCTCCAATGCCGGCGAGCTCGTCGTCTCCGGCGTCGACGAGGTCCTTGTCGAAACCCTAGCCGTGGGAGGGTGAGCACATGTCGCGCGCTCCGCGCAGAGCACGATAGAGTTTGCGAATTAGTTTCGGATGAGACTTTGCCGTCTCCGAGCGTGTTTTGTTCTCTCTTGGCCTGAGCTATCTAGCCAGGCAACACTATTAGGTGTCCAATTTTCAATCCCTTGGAGTTAGGATCGTATGTCTGGCCGCCACGAACTAAGCATTGGTAAAGGCCATGTTGATCCCATGAAATGTAATAGATTAGTTGGTTAAAATTAAGGGCAAAACTTTAGATCAGTTTTAACTTATTTTTATGCTCTAATGGACTAATATAATGAACTTTTTATCACGTTGGCTAAACCTTAGACAACATTTTGGACCATCTGTTTTGAAGAATCAAGAGCTAAACCGGTCTAAAGTTTAGTGTTTAAACTTTAGTCTATGAGATTCAAATAGAGCCTAAGCCTGTCTGCTTCACTCGGTCAATCGCCCCCTATAAGTGTATTTGGTTCCTGTTTTAGACTTGGCTAGCTAGTCAAGGTATATTGTTTTGATCTTATGGTCTAAAATTAGTTGGCCGTTAAATTTTACATCACTTTAGCATCGGTCGCAGATATGGCGCGACCTGTCGTCGCGCTACCTGTGAGCGCACAACACCACTCCATGCATTTGACCAGTCCCGCTGCCCTGCCCGCATCTTTCCATTATCAACTTGCAGTCCGAAGCCCAACACGCAAATGTCGCTTTCTTTGTGATGTCACACTGACTTAAGCCACAAAAAACAAAACATTTATTTGAAATTACTATAACTTTTAAATGGTATATTTATTTTCAATTTCGTCTGCACCGATATGCTCTAGTGACGAGACGAACAAAAGTAGACCCCATTTACATATGTTTTGAAAAAATTTATTCTAGTATCAATTTATTGTATTAACTTATAACCTATGCCAAAACTTGAAAACACAAAAATTATAAAACACAACTTATTTATAAAAGTTATTAAACACAAATGAACGAATTAGCTTATAACTTATGTCAAAACTTAGAAACACAAAAGTCATTAAACACAAAGGAACAAATCAACTTATATATTATGCCAAAACTTAAAAACACAAAAGTCATGAAACATAACTTATATATAAAGGTTATTAAACACAACTTATATACATAAGTTATTCTATACAACCATATTAGTCAGCCAGCCCACTGTAATAGAATCGGGACATAGGTCGCACTAGTGTTAGTCAGCCAGTCCACCGCCACGCACATGGGCGAGGGAGTCGCGTGCTGCGTCACGACTAGGACCAGGCGTGTCTTAGGCCCTGTTTGGGTGTTGCTGTTTTCTAAGATCGTAGTATTGCGAAACCACAATTTTAAACCCCGTAGGCATGTAATACTATAGTATTTAGAAACCACAGTGTTTCTCTGTTTAAGAAAAGCCATGACGTGTTTGGGTACACATCAATACGTTGCTTTTGGGATTAGTTGGTTGTGTTTTTGCTGCTAAAAATAGCGTGTATGTCTAAAAATAGAAGTGAAAATGAGACACACCGTCACAGGTGGACGCGCGCCGAGCTCTGTCAAAAATAAAGAGGGTTGGGACCGAGTTTTTTAGACTCAAAAAAGACTATGGTTTTATTAATACCGTAGTTTCTAAAACTCCAAATTAATTACATCCAAACAACTTATTTCTTTCAGATACCTAGGTATTTTAAAAAACACATGGTATTGATCTAAAACTCTAAAAAAAACTTTGTATCAAACAGGTAGCTTTTGCGTTTAGCATCGGCTGCTTTGCGTACTGCCGATGGGCTTTTCTGTACAGCCACGGCCCAAACAACTGCGAATAGCAAAGCGAGCAGGCCCAATGTTACGGCTATTTGCTCTATCAATATCACACCCGAGCTGCTGTCATCCGTCGAATGAGTGCATGCACGATGGACGACGTGTCACGCCGACGTAACCACGGCCGCCCTCGGCGGCCCCCGGGGATGAGCTAGACACCGGAACCTGGACCTGGCACCGACCAAGTACTGCGCGCCCTAAACACGCTCCAGTGTTGCTTTGTGCTGCACTTCACTCTACATCTGCAGTATCCTGTACTACCTCGGTGCCATTTTGGGAGCAACCCAGCACGCTTCAGCAGCCTTTCCCTTTTGTTTCTTCCTGTGCACAGCAAAGAAGGGTGCTGTTGTTCACATACTGCATGCGGTGCATCGCAGCAGGCATATGGGTATGGTTGTCTCTGAAGTCTGACGGAATCCCGAGCATCTAGAGGCAGGGCCACGGCAGACCTGCAGCCAAGCTATTGAAATGGCTAGCTCTGAATGCCGTGAAGCGCCAGCGTCCACCTTGGCTCGGCCTCGATCCTACACTCTAGCTACAACGGTCTTGCTCCTGCCTCCTTCCTTGTTCATCCCCCTCTTCTCTTCTCCTTGCAATGCATGATATGACGTGGTTGATCTTCTCCGTCTCTTCTTCCTCTTCCCTACTCTTCTCTTCAGAGTTGAGAATGATAGACACGGAGAGAGACGGATCAGTGGTCTCTTCATCTGTTATATCCCACCAGTGACTCGCTTGGTGACTCACCAACAGGTGATCTGTCTAGCTGCATGAGCAGTGTTTGATATGGTGTCTCAATTTGAGTAGCTGTGTGCGCCCAAGGAATGCAGAGAACGGGATCAATGGGTGCGCGGTGCAGCGGCGGCTGCGACAGGCGTGAGGACGGCGCCGTGGAGGCGCTGGTGCAGTGGCAGAAGGTCAGCGACTTCCTGATCGGGGCGTCCTACATGTCCATCCCGCTGGAGCTGCTGCACTTCGCCACCTGCGCCGACCTCAAGCCGCTCCGGTGGGTGCTCCTCCAGTTCGGCGCCTTCATCGTGCTCTGCGGCCTCGTCCACCTCGTCGACGTCTTCACCAACGCCCGCCCGGACTCGCGCCGACACCTCGTTGCCATCACCGCCGCCAAGGCGCTGGCCGCCGTCGCCGCCATCTCCCTCCCCACCTTCATCCCGCAGCTGCTCCGCCTCAAGACCCGCGAGGCGCTCCTCCGGGACAAGGCGCGCCAGCTGGACCGCGACGTCGCCCTCGTCAGGCGCCGCGAGGAGATCGCCGCGCGCGTCGTCCGCGCCATCACGCAGCACATCCGCCGCGGCGGTGGAGGCGGAGCCGGAGGTGCTCTCCAGCCAGACACGCACGCCGTCCTGCGCACCGCCGTGTTCCACCTCTCCGACGCCCTCAGCCTCAGCAGCTGCGCTGTCTGGATGCCCGCGGCGTCCAGTGATGATGGCCACAGCTTGCTCCACCTCGTACATCAGCTGCCTGAAGATGAGCACCAAGCCCCGACGATGACGACGAGGATGGCCATTCGCATCACTGACCCGGACGTGGCCGCCGTCATGGCCAGCAAGGACGCCAAGGTGCTGAGGCCGGGCTCGGCGCTCGGGACGACGTCTGGTCATGGACGTGCGGCTGCCATACGGATGCCTATGCTGACGGTGTCCAACTTCGTCGACGCATCATCCTCAGGATCAGATGGGCAGGGAGCTGCTGTGAGCTACGCGATCATGGTCTTGGTTCTTCCGACTACTAAGAATCACAGGGCTAGAGGTGGAGGAGGAGTAGCACGAGAGTGGAACAGGCAGGAGCTGGAGATCGTGGAGGCTGCGACGGACCAGTTAGCCGTGGCGCTGTCGCACGCGGCGGTGCTGGAGGAGTGGCAGCTGACTTGGCACAAGCTGGCCGAGCGGCAGAGGGTCCTGGCGCAGGCCCGGCACGACGCCGCAGTGGCTATCAGGGCCAGGGACGCCGCGCAGAGCGCCATGCGCGACGGCGTGCTGAGGTCGATGCACTCCGTCGCGGGGCTGCTCTCGCTGATGCAGGCGCAGCAGCAGCAGGACGGGGCCTTCCGTTGCGCCGAGCAGAGGGTCGCCGTGGATGCCATGGCCAGGATCAGCGCCCTGTCCTCCACGCTGATTGACGACGTCATGGCGGCGCTGCTGACTCCGGCGACTGCCCGTGGTGAGCTGGCGTCGGCGGGTGCCGGCGTGAGCTTGGCGCGGAGGCCGTTCGATCCCCGCGCGATGGTCAAGGACGCGGCCGGCGTGGCGGGGTGCCTCGCCCGTTGCAGGGGGGCTCGGCTTCCCGCATCGGGCGGAGATGAGCTCTCTGCCCACCGAATGCTGTGTGGTCGGCGACGACAGGCGCGTGTTCCACCTCCTGCTGCACATGCTTGGCGTTCTGTTGGACCAGTGCGAATGCCATTGCCATGACCTCTGCTTTGCCGTGGACACTGTTCCGGTGGGTGACCAGGAGACCATGTCAGGCTCAGGCCTCCCTGATTGGATCACCCCCAACTTCTCTGGCTGCAACATGGTGTGTGTCAGGTTCCGATTTGGGATCACAAAACACTTCAGAGACAGCTTACTGCTTTCGTGCAGCCCACGACCTCAAGAAAGAATCAGAAGAAGGACCAGCACCAGCGTCAGTTCAGGGCCTGTTTAGATCCCGAAAATTTTTATCCCAAAGTGTCATATCGAATCTTACGGCATATGCTTGGAGTACTAAATATAGATACAAAACAAAACTAATTGCATAGTTGAGTGAGAAATCGCGAGACGAAACTTTCGAACCTAATTAGTCCATAATTAGACACTAGTTGTCAAATACAAATGAAAGTGCTACGGTAGCCAAAACAAACATTTTCGCCATCTAAACGCGCCCTCAGTTTCAGTCAGCTCCGAGACGCGGCTAAGCATCGCTACGTGGAACAAGATCGTGCAGGTGAGCTCTGTTCCTATGTACAGTACTTCGAAACAATGCGTGTTCCATGTATTTAGATACAAGATCTCCTATGACATAGACGTTTTTTAGTGCGGCATTTGAACATGAATCAATCGTTCTGCCTGCGATCCCGCACCCCTCCTCCTATACTCATGCTTTGCGACAAAATTTAAAAAGGAAGGAACCTCGCTCCATGATTTCAAAAGCAAGGAAACAAACCTCGCTCCGTGATTCGTCTGCCCAGTTCCGCATCCACATTCCACAGCGCCCCCATCCTCACCCTCACCGCGCCGCCGCCGCACGCGCCCGCCCACAGCTGGATACCGCCCGCTCTTCCTCCCTGCCACGCCGCTGCGCCCCTCCCTACCCGGTCAGATCCATCCGACCGAGCCACCGCCACCCATGGCCTCCTCCATCGACGCGCGTTGCGACCCCCCTTCCAGATCCGCGTTGCCTCAACGTCTTCCTCTCTCCATCTGCGTCTCCTGAGCACCGGCGGCCCACCTCAACACTGATGGCAGTGAACCAATGGACCTGTAAGAGACGGACGTGGTGGCGACCTCACCTCCGAGGCCTTGACCTAGCTCCTGGTGGTGGCGACCTCACACTCGAGACCTAATGCCTGGTGGTGCCTCCCCTGTAGGTGCATCTCTCCTCTTCTACCATTGGTGTGTGCCCCTTCTGATCTAATCCACCCAAATAGGAACGTGTGGATGATAGGAGAAGGACCGGCGGCCAGCAACCCGTCTACAAGATCGTCGTCATCACCGACCCCCTGCAGTCGCCGGTGTTGCCTTCCCCAAGGTGTGCCTTTGCTTCATCAGACTAATCCCTGCCCTGAAGCTTATTTCAGATAAGCCACCTTGGCCGGCTCGATCTATGATTTGTTTGAGATAAATCAATTTGACAGACATGATTGCATATGATTTCTTGGCCTGCAACTTTTGAGCAAAAGAAGCTGATATGAATATTGTTTTTGACCAATCTCTGCGCATTTTTCAGTCTCGCGTTCAGCTTATCATGGAATTTATATTTGCTGCAGAACGTGAACAGGTTGCGTATCATGTGTTTGATGGAATGCACATACAGGTTCAGTGCTTCTAAATTTCGTGCATACTTCATTATTAATAATATCAATATTGTGCCTTTGGTATTATGCTATAGGAGTAAAAATTGAATTTCTGTTTTGTATTGTTCACGTTGTGTGAGCGGATTATTGAAATTAATTGGCTTTGATTTCAACACTTTGATTCAGTTAACAAATTAAGGATACATGTAATAGGGTGTCCTTGGATTGGCAAATAATTTTATTTCTTGTTCCTTAAAAATATTGGCTACTAAGAGTAATTAATATTTGAGAGAATGTCAATGTATTGAAATGGGAGTTCATGGATATAAAACTCTGGTGCATGTTCAAACAAGTATAAAAGGTCATAAGGATTGTTCTATTGTCATGATTCTAAATATTTTGATATGGCCTTATCATTTGTGCTCATCAATGATTGCCTTTTCAAGAACCACAATCAGCATGCAGGTGTACAATAGTATTTGCCTGATCATCTTCCAACTCTAGCTCATCATCCAAATTTAATCGGTGGACGTTGCCTCATTTTGACAAATAGATGATCATGCAACTAAAGAGGATGATGACCTGGATTTGGTGGCTGAATTGAGAATTTGAGATCAATGTGATTAGCTCACTGAATAATAAAAATTGGAACTTATGGTTAGCTACTTTACATGGGATAATGCAACTTATTTGATCTGCAAAACTTTAGGCTCTGTTTCATGTAGATCTCCACACTGGTTCTATCATGGATCATGGTGATTGGTGGATGTTAATTCAACTCAAGTCATTTGGTCTAGAGTTTAGGTTCTACGGACCATTAGGTTTTGATGGCTTTTGTAGCAAAATCAATCTAACGTTGTATCTTGGCATGTTGCATTTTTGGAAGCATGGTGGGTTGGGACTGCGGTATTTGACTGAGACCATTGTCCAAATTTATTTCCGTGCATGTATGGAACAAACCTGTTTTCTCAATCGTTCTTATGAGAATTGTGCATCTATATGCAACTTTTCATTAGTGGGCGTGGCTCAAAATGTGTGAACGAATATCTGAAAAGTGGAGGGATAAATCAGTGCAAATAGCTTCAGAGTTTTAGCTTCTTATGAGAATTGTGCATCTGTATGCAACTTTTTCATTAGCGGGACGTGGCTCAAAATGTGTGAACGAATATCTGAAAAGTGGAGGAATAAATCAGTACAAATAGCTTGAGAGTTTTAGCTTCACCTTGAAATTGGCAAGTCCACACAATCACATAAAAAACAAATATAGGCAGATTTTCTATTTGGTGCCATTTCATATGAGCTACAATCTTCATAAAAAAATCATCTCTGTCTGAGGTCGTATAAAAAAGAAACGATTTATCTAAGTTGGGTCTTGCTGCTGACATGTGGGTCCCATCTGTCATGCCACATAGGATAGCAGGTCGGACCCGTTGAGAACTGGATCATACCTGTTAGAATTGAGGGAGCCAAAAATACATTTTGGGGCTTTGGGACAACTTTGAGGACAGCGGGTGAATTTCTCTCTTTTGAAAGTTACTTGTGAATTTGTACCTTATGCCATATGGATGGTTTCTTAGTGCTAAATGTTAATACTATGTATCCTTCAACCCTTGGCTTCCCTAGCAATTTGTAACTTGATCTGCTTGTACACTGCAGGCAAAGGATGTGAACCTGAATGGAATGAGACCTTTGTGTTCACCGTCTCCGATGGTGCTACAGAGCTATTCATCAAGCTCCTGGATAGTGACGGTGGCACCAATGATGATTTTGTTGGTGAAGCAACGTAAGTAATTATATTTTGTAATTTGTAGGCTTGTAGCTGGACCAATCCGACCTGCAACTACTGAGTGATAACCCATGTACAGTGACGGTAGTTTGCATCCCTCTTGCGGTTTGCATGTTTTGAAGATGTTTTGGGATTTAAATTTTAACGTTTGCGGTGTTTATTTCAATCGAGTGCTCGGTTCTTGTAGGATTCCTCTGGAAGCAGTTTATATAGAAGGAAGCATCCTACAATTGTTTACAGTGTTGTGAAATATGAAGAATACCGCGGAGAAATCAAAGTTGGTCTCACATTCACTCCAGAGGTAACAATCTCACATAGCCACTCACATCCATGTTCAAAGCTGGATTTAAAAAATGTAATACACTGAGAAGTCTCTATCTATAATCTATAATTAAAATGCTTTTGTGATTTAAAATGTAAAGGTTCGCTTTCATCAAACCAGAGAAAAAAGGCTGACACGCAAGTTTATTAGATTGTTTTTTGCTAAAACTTTCATGTGGTAGCCGCCGCTGGGTGTAGATGTTTCTTTTGCCTCCTTTTGCTTTTCCTATCCAGTTCCTGTCCGTGGCAAACGATATATATTGTACTTTGCGATAGTGGATTTCTTATCTTTCTTTTCGGTTGCTTTTTCCATTTCCCTGGGTTTTGTTCTGAATTTATCTTACTACATCCTGCTGAAATGTCCCTTCTATGAGCAGGATTCTCGTGATCAAGGTTTCTGAGGATAGCTTAGTGTGGTTGGAAGCACGCAGCCGTCTTATAAGAAGCAGATCCCTTGATGTATTACTACAGTTCATCAGTGACAGTGAGCGTGCGTTTACAATGTAGAAGCCTGCAAATGGGGGTGTTTTTGATCAAGGGGCTAATAATTAATATTACTCTAAAACCAGTACCCGTATTTGATGCCTTGTCCTGTACTGAAACTGTAATAATGGTGCTGGCCACTTGCGTGAACTATACTTGAACCCCACTCTTGATGTTCAGTTAACTTGTCGATTACAAGAGGCCGTGTGACTGCTGCAAGATATCACTTGTCTGCTCTTCCTTTCTTTCCTTTCCCCTGAGGTCTGAACCCTGAGAAGGGTCTCCATTCCGTGCTCAACGGGAACGGGGACAGGAATTAAGGATGAAAACGGTCGAACTCGGTCGAAAAACTCCTCAACCGTTTTCTACTTTTATATTTGAAATACGAAAGCGAAAGCGGACAAGCCGGACACGAAAACGAACACGAACTTACGGAATATCTAGAATTTCAGAAACGAACCAATTCGAGCGGAATTATGTCGAACACGGTCGGTATGCGAAAATTCAATACGAAATACCGACCCACAGTGCATAGCATTAAACAAGTGAACGACCAAATACATAACAAGTTCATAACTAACAAGTGCATGATCTAGTCCAAGTACATAGCATTAAACAAGTACACGACCAAATACATAATAAGAGAGATGAGGCTGGGCGTCGTCTATAAGAGAGGGCAGCTAGCCACCAGTAGAAAGAACGCAGCTGCGTGATGATCAACCTGTAATTGGGCTGTATGACCTGTGCAGTTGGCCAAATTCGGTTTAAACCGAATTTTGAATTCGGAATATTTCAAATTAAAAGTAGAAAAGTAGAAAACGGTCGAAAAATGTGTAAACCATTTTCTACTTTTACATTTAAAATACGAAACATCTCAGATGCGAAAGCGAAAACGGTAAAGTCAGACAAGAAAATGCGGATTCGATCGAATTAAATATAGAAAACGATGCCGTTCGATTCGGGATATTTTCGTTTCGTTTTCATCCTTAACAGGAATACAGGATCCATGAAATCATGTTGCAGTAGGAGAACGAGAACAGGGACAGAAATACGGGACTGGACTGGACTGGACATAGTGCATGGAGCTCGGTAATCTCCTCTGACATCCATGTCTTGGATGGTCGAATTTTTTTCTACCGTATATAGGAACTGATTTCACATTCTTTTTCGTTATTCATCCATCGTAGAAAAAATATGTTTGATAGACACGTGCGTGACAGTGAGCCTGTGATGGCACGCTCTCTGTGACTGTGTTAATTTTATGAATTTTGTCTTTTTAGATTAAATGTCACTTTAACGTCGGTAGTTAATTTCACAGTATTGTTATCTTATCGTACGATCCGTGTGTTTTTAATATAAAAACTTTGTTGTTCCGTAGCAACGCACGGATATGCTTAGAACCTAAATTGGCTGACCGTTCTCTCGTCAGATGATGAACGGTAAGTTGTGGCACTAATCCACGTCAGAGTCCAGAGGCCAGCATGGAGAGCACATGAGCCTCATCCTGCACTTCCAGCTCGGCTATGGAGTCGCATCACCCTCTGCCTCCTCCCCATCAGGCGGCGGCGGCGGATTCTACCGCATCGGTGGCAGATTCGGAGCGCCCTCGCCGTCCACCAGTGCTCCTCCTCAGTACAACTTCAACGGCCTGCGCGTCCTGCTCTCGGACAGTGACGACACCAGCCGGGAGGTGACGCGGAAGCTCCTGGAGACGCTCGGCTGCCATGTGCTGCCGGTCCCGTCGGCCGCGCACTGCCTCAGCCTTCTACTGGGGAGCGCCACCGCCGGCGGCGATAATCCGTCGTTCCAGTTCCCCTACTTGCAACCCCAGGCGGTGCTTCTGGACCTCCACACACCAGCCGCAGCTAGCGTTGACGCCGCCAGTGCGACGGATGATGGGTTTGAGGTCGCCCTCAGGATCCGGGAGGTCACCGGCGACAGGTTCAGCTGGCTGCTCATACTTGTCGCGCTGCCATTGCCACCGAGAGCAAGCTGCATCGACGTCCGCGACGTGTGCAAGCGGACGGGAGTGAATGGCGTCATCCACAAACCCATCACGCTGCCAGCACTGGCAGCTCAGCTTCACAGAGTTGTCCACAATGACAGCTGAACAGTGATCCCCACGTACCTACAGCCTGTTTGGACTACTCAACTCCCTTATTTTCAAACTTGTTTCTAGCTTTCTTTTCAAACTTGTTTCTAGCTCTACTCTTAACTTTGTTTGTTAAACAAGATAGATCAATAGATCTTTTTTTTCCTAAAACCTTTCATATAGGATATGGAGGGGTAAAAAACACTCTCGGGCAGATTGAAAAAATGATTCCCTTTCTTTAAATATTGTTCTCAATTATAACAAAAATCATCTCTCAAACCCCTTTCGAAAGGGAATACTACACCCACCCCATCTCCTTTCCCTTTCAACTTTTAGTTGTTTATCCTAGCTATCAGGTGCCAATTAATTAGGGCATTACTAGCGCCCAGACGCCCGGATGAACGACCGTGGCTGCTTGTTTCCCGCGTGTAGCGAGCGGACGGCGCAGACCTCAGCTTGCTCCAGGGCCACCACACGAGCATCGCGCCGTCATCGACCCACCCAAGGCCACCACCTCCGCGGGCGTCTGCGTGCTCGTCGGGTAGGATTTCCTCGCCGAGCTTGAACTGTTGTTGCGAGATGGAGGGAAGGGAAGGGAGGGGAGAGAGAGGATAGAAGAGGGCGAGGCGCGCCACGCGAGGAAGGAGCTTGGTAGGAGCCAAAGCCCTACGGTAGGCCGCTATCTGCCAACCACTGGCACATTGCAACATGTGCAACACCCGATCTACTTTTGAATCATCCAGATGAAACATCATACGTATGAAGACAGATAAAACACATGAAACATGCGTCTGAAACACTTGCAAAAACACCTAAAAACACTTGAAAAGTCATTGCAAAACATATGTAACATTCAGATAAAACACTTGCAACATATGCGTGAAACATATGCAGCATCCAAATAAACACACTTGCAACATACGTCTACAATATTTGGAACAGATGCTAGCAACATACATGTATAGCCATTGCAACATGTGCAACATCTTGATCTAGTACGAAACACTTGCAGCATACCTTTGAAACATTTGAAACGATTAAAATATGCGATTGCAACATGCGCTTGTTAGGGGGACGTCAACGGCCCAGCGTACACCCAGGCGCATGCCATCCCTTCCTGTTGACAAGCGAGGTTGATGGGGGCGCACGTGTAGGCCTCCCTAGGCGCAGGCGCTTGCCTCCCCTTTCATGATGGGCGAGGTGGATGGGGACATGGCGCGGGATGGTGGCGCGGACCGCAGAGCAGCCAGGGATGAGGCACAGGGGTAGCGCCGCCACGCTGGAGAAGGCCGCGACGGGTGGGTGCGCTGTCTGCGCACTACTACTGTAATCTTTTTCGAGGTAGGCGAAATGGATTTACCGAGGCGGGCATCACAACCGCCTCGAGGCAAAGGTCACGATAAATTATTTTTTATCGAGGCAGTTCAAATGCCCGCCTCGGTAAGTTAAATAAATATCTTGGTCAGGTTACTATTGCTCGGGTATTCAACTGGGATGTACACCAACGGAGAAGCAAACAGGCTGTAAAAGAAACTTGATCAGTTATATCACGAGGCCAACCAATGTGATTGGGTCAAAAAAAAATTGTACCTTTTGCTACCTCTGGCAGATTAGTCCATCATAACGAACTCTTTGTTGTTGATGGTTCCTTTGCTGTGTAACAATGTATCAGTTTATTCTCTTTTATGGTGTAGGAACATTAATAGAAGATGTCATTTCACTGCCTTTTTCCCCACTGGACGCCCATATTCTGGTTTGATGGATCACATTTCATAAAATATGGTACCATTCTTCAGGGTTTACAGAGAAGGCTTGCAGTTGCCAAACATACATACTTGGAACATCATTTCATGTTTACTGCGTCAGACCCATTGTTGCATTGCCATGTTGAGCAAAGATATATTTGAAAAAAATGAACAAGTGCGATGACTTTGGTAGGGATTTAATGCTTGAATGTTGAGCAAATATTTTACCTTGTCAGAGTGATTTTATATTGTTGTGGTCAATTGTCGTAGCTGTACAGTGCTAAATGTTCCAACAGAGATGTTCACTGTCTGGTCTGGTCTGGGTCTTCATTGTTAACGGACAACTGTCTGGGCTTTAATCCATCTGTGGCTTTGTATTTGCAAGCTTCCACTGCCTCAATGACTAAACGAAGCTCAAGTCTGAAGTCGAAGTACAGCCTTCCAAGTTCCAACAACTTTGCAAGCAGATCACATGCTCAGTTGTGCTTCTACAAGATGCTAAGAGTTGAGCAGGTTACCGGACAAATTTGAATTTAACAAAAGTTGACCCTATAACTACGTGACCGACCAGGACCAGGTTCTATTGTATTGTATGCAACAACTTCCCTCTCTCTGTCAACAAGGAGCAACAAGTTCAGCTCCATGTACATGCAAATGCAAGCACTGCATGTTCTGATCATCTGCATGCTAGCTAATAAGCAGCACACACAGACCTGAAATGGTGCTGCTGTGTCCTGCATTCGAATTGTGCTCCTTATTTTCTTCTTGTTTGGGACGAGAAAAGGTGGGGGAAGAAGAGGCGCGCGTGAGGACGCGGGACCGACCATACGAGCCGCACTCTTCTTCGTGAAGCTTCCCGCCGGCGCTAGAAGACGCCGTCGAGGCGAGTGCACGCTAGTCGTAGTTAGAGTCGAACATTCGGTCGAATGTATGTGATGAAAGGCCGGGGGGGTACGTGGCGGTTGGGTTAACCGGCCGTTAACATGACGCAAGTAGATCGAGGCTCATAAGATCCATCGGAGATAGATCGAGGAAGCTGCGCTCTCCGTGCTTGCATTGCGTCATATGCCACGGGCCGAGGAACCGCGCGCGTCTCTAATCCCTGTTGGGTCTGAGTCTGTCCGTTAGGGCAGGGCCGGCCGACGCAGACACGCAGGCAGCCACCGGACGACGTGATTGATTGCGGGATCACGAATAAATTATATTATTGTATGGTGGAAAAGCGAGGAGAGAAAGATAATAAGATGATCTATTGCTGAAATTTGTTTTTTTTCGATAAACAGTGAACACTTCTTTTCGTGCTTTGTTTGATGAAGAGTACAAAAATATGTATGCTCCAGACATTACATGAGCCCACTGAGCTTAGCTCGCTGGACGAACAGCAGTAGCTACTACTAGTACGTAGTAGCTAGAGACGCAAGCATGTGACTCCATCGTTGCATTGGTTCGTTCTGAGACTTGAGAGCAAAGACTGCTGACCTGACCAGCCGTGTTAGCTAGCGGAGTAGTAGTATACTACTCACCCAAATGCATGCAAGCTAAGTACTGTACTACTCCAATGCAAAGAAAAGAGGACAAGCTCTACCTTTCCCGTTTCCCCCGTGCGGGAGGGAGAGCGCGGACGGAGCTTCCGGGAACCGGGAACATTCCTGCTATGGCATTGCACTTGCAGTTTCCAGAAACCGCGTGCATGGGCGCCGCGCGATAGCTTTGCCGGGCCGCATCCCTCAGTTCCGTTGTTCCCTTAGGCTGCCGGCCTGCCCTGCCCTTACCGTGCCTGCCTCAAAACCAACACAACAGCGATCCATGTATAGGGGCAGCAGGGCCAACGCACACCCATCCATATCCAACCAACAGCGCGCGGCCTCTTGCCAAGAACCCCCGCCCATAGCTGCTTGCCCCGGGCAGCGGCTTTGTCCTCGATCTAGTCTAGCTTTATTCCCCGTCTCCATCAGTGGTGGAGAAGTTGCCCCTGGGGCCGGCCGACTGGCCGAGGATGGCTGCCGAGTTCGTGCTGCTCTTGGTCCTCATGTTCACTACTACGACTCCGTGTGCTACAGCTGCTGCAACCACCGCCAGCGCTGTCGTCGTCTCTGATGCTCCCACTCCCACGGTGTGCGCCAACTCCGGTGAGGCGTCTCTCCTCCGATCAGATCACATCAAATCCCTCGCTCCGCTACCTGCGCTTTTCATCTCCGATCCTCGTGTTCGTTGCTGCAGGGACGACGCCGGTTATGCTAGGAGAGCCGCTGCGCTTCTGTGGCAACACTGGCATCAGCTGCTGCGACGCCAGCGACAACGACGCGCTGCGGGAGGAGCTTCATGCCATGAACGTCCCCGACGCCACATGCGCCGCCATCGTCAAGTCCGTCCTACGCGCAGAAGCGCCTCCGGCACCAGAACTTACTCACCCACCGCATGCTCATTGTGATTTCTCAGATGTCGTGGTTTGTTTCTTTTCTTTTCTTCGTGGGGATCGAATTTCAGGATCTCCATGTCGATCTGTGTGCCATGCGTGATGCTTGCGCGGGCTTGTTCTTGCAAATTTCAGTTGCTTCTGTGTTTTTATTGCCTCAGACGACGCATGATGCAACGGTTTCTTTTTCAAGCTGGTTTTGCTCCAAGGGTCGGATGTTGTTCGCTGTCCTTCTTGCATACTTTCTGGTTTTGCTTTCCTTTGGACGACCATGTTGCATTGAGGGCGTTTAACGCAAATTTTAGTTCAATCTTTCTAACTCGAGATCTTTCTCCTTTATTATTTTTTTTGGCAAAGTTTACTTAGATATTTGTAATTAACAAAGTGACTCGATATGCCTCTTAACTCATGTATATGTACTTGTGGGTCCTTGTTCTTTATTCAAGATCTTTTGAGTTCCATTATATTTGTGTCCCTATGGTTCCATTTTGGACGTAAAAAGGATTCAGTGATGTGTGAAGAAATTAATAGGCCGTGTGACTAATCTTATATATGAAAGCAAAACCTTAATGCATTTCCCAACTGCTGCTCGCTCTTGCAGAGATGCATCCCGTTCGTGTGGAGCTCGGCTGATCCAACGACGGCCACGAAGCTCTCGGTTCCTCTCCTCTGCCCATCTGCGCAGGCGCAGCAGCAACCCGTCGTCAGTGCTGGTACCACAAGGTCGTTGGCGCAGGAGCAGGACACCAGCAGCATGTGCCTTGAGAGAATCAGCGCTGCCTCCTTCGACGCCATGACGGCTCACCCAGACGGCTCGGGCCCGGTGTTCTTGACCAGCCGCCGGGACTGCAAGTTGT